TTGAATATAATTATATCAATTAAACCAAATCAAAAAATCATTTACGTAAAGAAAAGAATTCTATCCTTACCAAGGATTGAAAATTTAACATGACTTAAAAATGATTTTGATTTAATCTTTCTCAGAAATTTAAAAAATGAATTATCAGGTGGATCACCATCACCAGTATTTGATGTTACGAAAATTAAGACATTTTCTTTTGAAAAATCAACCTATTTAGTAATAAATATTAAATCAAAAAAAAAAATTATTATTATTTTTTTTTTAAATCAATTGATATAATAAAGAGCATATACTTTATCGTAATCATCTAAAATGTAACATTCACTAGTAAATCCACGTTTAATTGATTCCTCATGAATATTATTGGCAATCCATTCTACATTACCAGTTTGAGAAGCGTAAAGAATTACAAAATTTTGACTTTTCTCAGTGGTCATGATTTAAATTAGAATTGATGTAAATAAATGTCATAAAATGTCATAAATGCATAAAATACGAATTTTTAATTGAATTGTGTTGATCTTTCCTAAATTAGAATTTCGGTAAATTGCAAATAATTATCACAAAGAACCAAAAGAGTTAATAAAATCGATTATATCTAACACTAATACGTATTTTTTTTAAAGAATGTGTTATAGCAAAATATTAAAATCTTGAATTTAACTTTAAAATTTTTCTATTTACCTGTTACGTACTGTACGTACGTACAGTACGTACATACATACCAGATACATACATACATACAGTATCTGGTATGTACAGTCTGCATTTAGTAGCGGGTGTATAATGATGTAAATGATGTAATGATCATTGAGAGCTCTCTGCATAATTCTGTCATAATAATTAAGGGACTGTAACTTTAAAGTTATTTAAAACATTATTTACACGAACAATTAATAGAGTAAACAGATCGACTTAACTGATGTATACCAAAAATAAATGGAGTGGGACATGTAACATCATCGAACATCATTGATACAGCAATCAATCAAAGTTTTTAAACTAGTTAAAGTATTGTGACCATTTTAATGTTGTTCGTTAAAAAAAATCTACCAATGATTAGTTTTATTCGTTGAATATGGTGAATATGTCATACTTTGCCATTTTCTTGAATTGTTATTCAAAGTTGCACCTGACCGAAATTAAGCCCTTGTATACATTAAAGTAGGCAGACGCCCGAAGTAGTAGATTTAGGCACGATATATACAGTACTATCATATTCATTAGATAAAGAAGTTAATCTCAACCGTATTATTTCGCGTTTTTCTTTGAAGTATACTAAATTGTAAAAGATTACAATTTATAAGAATTAACTCTATATGTTATAAAAGGAAATGGCATTTATTTATTCTGTCAGAGTTCTTTTTTTATCCTTTAATCTATTTTTGGGTTCACTCTATAGCGGATAGTATACCCTAGTTTAATGCTATAACTGATTATTTACTGGTTTATTAAGTGTAAATGCCGGCAATAATCTCGTTGATAGTACCTCAATGCTATATAAAAGTTTTTCTAACTGAATTTATGTATTAAAAAAAAAAAAAAAAAAATTAATAATAATAAAATAAAATAATAACAGCTTACTTTCTCCCAATATTTTAAATACCTAATCAAAACAAATAACGCGACATATTTCAAATATTTTTCAAAAAATAGTTAAACACAATTATTATTCAAACCTTTATTGGCTTATATAATATCTAGTGCTACGACTTTATTGGTCAATTTTTAAATAGCAGAGATAAAAAACCGCCGAAGCAATACTTTTATAATTTATGATAAAAAAAGATTATAATCTTATGATGAGCACTCCATATAAGCATCCCCTCTATAAGCATATCTCAAGAAATGTTTTTTTTATGAGCACTTATTTTTTTGATTTGGTTTAATTGATATAATTATATTCAAAAAAAAATAGGATTAGGTGACACTAATTATTCTAATTTCAATAATACGGCAAAATGGCTTGAAAAAAAGCTGTTGGATTTAGGTGGCACTTCATTTTATGACAAGGGTCTGGCTGACAATGCAACTGGGTAATAATAATTGATTTTTGTTTTTGTTCTGATTAATTTTTCATTTTATTTATAAAAAAAAAAAAAAAAAAATTTTTTTTTTCAGATTGGAATCAGTTGTGGATCCTTGGATTGCGGATCTGTGGCCAGTTTTGACTAATGTTTGTGTTCAAAAACAAAAGGAATATGGAAATGATATTATTGAATCTATTACGTCTCTTTCGATGAAAGACAAATCACAACCCACAAAAAATCAATTGGATACTAAAATTACTAATGATCCTGTGTCTTCAAACAATTCGTTCAGACCAGGAAATAAAATAATATTAGATTTAACAGGCCTTGTTGATTCCGATCAACTTACTGCTATACCTCGTACACCAGCTGTGTTTTGCAAAATCTCAAGATCAAACAGAGAGAAGGTTGTTTCTTCGTTACCTTCCTTTTTAGAACAATCTTCACCTATTTTTAATACAAGAATCAATGCTGTACGCTGTCTCACACATCCAAATGCCGTCAAAAAAACTTTGCATTTGGAATTAGATATTAAGGATCATGAAATTTCATTTGTTCCTGGTGATGCATTTGGAATATTTGCCCCGAATGATGAAGTAATGGTGAGGGGAATCCTGAATGTTTTAGGAATTGATGAAAATGTTGCTCATCAAGAGATTTCTATTGAAGCTGCTGAAGGAGTTGGTATATATATCCTATGAGAAAATGCATATATTATATTAGAATTGTGTATATTAGAATTTTTCGGATCTTTAAATATTCTTTCTTATTGGTGTAGCCAATCTCCCTATTTATTTGAAAAATTTTAAATCAACTTCGGTCTTTGAGTTATTACGTTATGGTGTTGATTTAACATCTTTACCACGTAAAGCTCTATTAAAGATGATGGTCGATTACACTTCTGATGATCAAGAAAAACGTTCTTTACTTTTTCTATGTAGCAAACAAGGTATCTCAAAATTCAATCATTTTATTATTCAAATTATTTGTGATTATTTATTTATTTTTAATTTCATTAAAATTAATTTAGTCCATGAGTATGAAGATAATTTATTAATATTAATTAGTTTCATTAAAATCATAAACATATATATTTATCACTAAATACTTATTTACAATAAATTAATTACCTTATACCCTTTAAATCATTTCAGTTAGTAAGTATAAAGATGACTTATTAACATTAATTATTTTTATTAAAATTATGAACATAAATACTTATTCATATCAATTTATCCCTAAATACTTATTTATGATTAA